CTTTCGTTCCAAAGTAAATCCAGCCTCCGGCCCATCCAAACAGACGCAAGCCCTTTCTACACTTGAAAATACCCTTTCAGCAGGCGTTTGGCAATAGTCAGCTCAGCTGTAGCTGTGCCAGTGCCAGTAGCACATATAAGAACCAACTGTGCTTGGCACTGCCTTGGCTACACTGGTTGCTGAAAAGCTGCTACTTCCTAGTGCAGACAGGGCCAAAACCTTCAGGGGGATGGATGCAAACCGATGCTGTGTGACTGGCTGCAGCCAGCCTGCAACAACAGGCTTGGGAACCTGCAGTGGGAATTGGTTTCACTGATCCCAAGGTTTGATACAAAGCATAGAGATTTAAATGCATTGGCAACCATTTAAGTGCTGATAAACCACACGAGAGGGACTATTGCATTAGATGAAGTCCTCCAGTGCAGAGGCCCAGCACCAGATTTATATACTACTAATTAAGTTCCACTTCACCCAGGCCCAGGCCTTAAACAGGCCTTCTGGACAGGGCAGGATCACATTCCTTGTGAAGCCTCACACAATCCACACAACATTTTGATATCACGAGAGCATAAGGTTTTAGACTTCAAGAAGACTGCAAAAGATCATCTCCTCTCTTCCTCTGTCTGACCACTGGCTGCCCCTCCATCACTCCTGGCTCCAGGCACCACTATGGATCAGCCTTCTAAAGAAAGGACCGCATGAGCCGAGCACTGGGGAAAACAGGATAAGCTTTACACCAACTTGACCACAGCAGGCTGTTCCAAGGAAGTCAGGGGAAGTCTCAGTTCCCTACAAGCTGTAAATATCAAGATGGGCCAAAGCTCTAAGATACAGCAGACCTCAACCTCCTGCAGGATGTTCCGTAATGCAAATATGATCCTTAGGTTTTATACCCACCTTTCTGCCAGGAAAAGCTACCATCCCCCTTGCCAGAAATAGAGAAGCTGATCACAATATTCATCTAACTTATCTCCATGAACAACACTGCTGCTGATTTTGAGATGCCTGGGACCAGCTTGGCAAGGACAGGATGACTCGATATTGTTCTCTTCTGACACCAGCTGCTATGATTTACCACAATGAGCATCCAATTCAGTAAGAAACATTTCCAAAAAAGTAACTCTACGCAGACCACTGTCTAGTTCTTAAACGCCTCATCCCACTTCATCCCCTCTGAAAGAGGTACACAAATAAAGCCACAGAAATATCATTAAAATGTCAGCTTGTTTTTTGTTCACTTACAATTCCTACCAGGGACGTTCTTTAGCAAATGTTTAATAAAACTCTGTGTAAATTAGACTCCCAATTGATTTCATTTTACGTGCAGTTTAACAGATTTGTTTTGGAACACTTCTTTCTTTTATAGCATTTGGCATCTTAGGGGCAAGGAAGTGAACAGTTTTTAGCTAGATATATCCAACACCTAAAACCCTGCAAAGAGATTTGAAAGGCAAATGAAAACTGAATGCCGTTAGCTGTGCCAATAAACTTGCCACTAATTTTGAGGTGGCTGGGGTTTCTGGGATTTGGAGATTCCTTTTTGTCTCTGGAAAAAAGAACAGGCCTCTTACCATCTAAGCACCAGTACAACCGTTTCTAACAAAGGATTAATTTTCATGTTTTCCAACAGAATCTCTTCTGGAGAAAAATGTTCCTGTCATATGAACATCAATGCAGCTATAGTAAACAATCATCTTTTAAATGAAAAGCTACTGGATGGTTTGTAGACAATTTTAGGGACATGGACATTTTGGGGAATTTTAACACAGACTTAAAACAGGAGCAAGAGCAGGACATTCATTAGTTATGCTACAACAACTCCACTTTTACTTGATACTTTCTGGATAATTCTTCCCAGGGTCTAAAACCTTCCATACTTGCTTTCAGCTCAGGGGTCTTTTAAAAACTCAGAGGAAAACCATTCAGCTGTCTGTGTAACGGTGAGCCTGAAAAGGTAAAATTCAAAACATTCAAACTCTTCATAACTCAAACGTAACTGGTCAAAGGGCTCCAAAATTTGCCCTGTTCCAATCTCTGAGGATTAAATGTTGATATTTTTAAAAGTTACAAGCAACCAAATGAGTCGCTGTAGGCTCAAAGGAGATCGAAAAACCAGAGGGCTGAGCAAAGTACGCATTTTCCCTCCCTTGCCCAAAGAGGGTCTTTGAAGCATAGCAAATTCAGACCGGTTTCATACTTGATGAGAAATTGTTAGGAAAGCTGGTTTAAGAATAAAGATGTGCAGGCTGAGAACAAAACAGGTACAAAATAACTACAGCCCCTTGGATCCTACAGCCTTTGCAACTCTGCAGCTTATTGCATTTTGCACCTTTCATAGTCATCGTCTCTTTGCATCGGGGAGATAGTGTCCCAGCATACATTTAATCAGCTGCTGCCCTGTTGACCCAGCCTTGGGGGAAGAAAGCTCAGTTGTGTGTGTTGAGGCCACCGCACTTGTTCAAGAGCAGAGGTCTCAACACAGGTCTCCCATCCTACTCGCCGTCACTGACAGGGAATCTTCAAAGTGTGCACACGGGGTCTCCCCTGCCTTCTGCCGCCCTTCGGTTTATTAAAAACAAGCAGCCCAATGTTAAATGTCTCCGACTAGAGTACGTATCACGCACATCACTGGAAACTGAAGGTTTTAAACTGAACAGCATCGAAGCCAGGCAGTGAAAGCTAGTTTCCATAGGAACATTTAACAGCTTCTCACAGGATATCCTGTATGCGTTTAGATACATACTTAACAATATAAAAATCAAAACAAATATACGTAATGTGGGCAGCCTGAAACACTAAGTGATACTTCACTGTAGCATCCCACGTATAGTCCATGACTGGAAACTGGAGGGCTTACAGTATAGGGAACAGTGGATCTCTCTCTCCCTCTCGAGAGCTATGTATTCAATATTAGCATTCATACGTATTAATGAGTAGAAATAACCGTGAATTGTCTCCAAACCCAGTCACTTAGTAGCACAAGTTCTTAAGGGGCCACAGACAATTCCAGTGAAATACTAGCACATGCCTTATGACTACAAGCCATTGTGTGCCCAAAGTCAATAGAAGTGATCAGAACCACAAGAATATTTGCCATATGTTCTTGACAGGAATTTTTCATGCTCTCTCTCACAAGACACACAAAGCAGCAGCAACCAGAGCCACCCAAGTTCTCTTTGATGGAGGACTGAAAGGGCGAGACATTCCTAACTGAGCTTTCTTCGCATCAACTTGAAGTTTATTTTCCACCCTGCACAGCTGGATGCATACCAAGAAAGGGATGAAGACCCTCCACTCTT